GTTTCATTGTGCAGCCTTGGCTTTCCTGGACTTGCATTGTAGACCAGGCTGGCCTCGAAATCACAGAGATTCACCTGCCTCTGCCTCCCCCTGGGACTGCAGGCATGCGCCATCACCTGCTTTTTGATCACTTTCCCCTGGCATGCCTACCTCTCTAGGCCACAGGGGAAAAGGATGCATTCAGTCCTGATGCAACTTGATTTGCTAGGGTGGATGCATGGGGGCTCCCTGCTCTGAGGAGTAGGGGAGGAAGGATAGGAGAAATAGGGAGGGAGGGTGGCACTTGTTGGAGAAGAGGCAGGGGGCTACAACCAGGGTGTAAAATGAATAAATAAAAAATAAAAGAAAAGAAAAGAACCTGTAAAGCTTCCAAGCACCGTTGGTGATCCATGAGTTGGCTTATCCAATAGTCATGGTGGTACCAATCTGGGGAGTCCTTTATGACTTTTCACAGGGGTGTCTTACATCTCTAAACAGAAGAAAGATAGGATCGTGTGGGCTGGTCAGGGCTGGGAATTTACAGAGTTGCTATTGATCAGACAAACAGTGTTGTTTAAGTGATAAGCACTGCAGCCTGGATCATGAGAGGATCAGCCTAGCTGGTTGATTGACTAGGAGGAATGTGTTGTGAGCATTAATATTGTGGCTCACATCCTGAAATCCTGATAGTGCTGCTCATGGAGCAGAGCTGCTGGGGTCAGGGGGAAGTCCCTGGCTGTCTCTTATCATGGAAGCTGCTCATGGGTCCATTTCGTGGATTGAGGTTACGAGCTTGTGACTTTGCAAACACAAAGAACTAATGCTGCTCGGAGAAGCCTTTCCTGTACGTAGTGAACTAGAAGTAAGATGCCAGCACTGGTTCAAAGTAATAGAACAGATGGGTTGGCACTTGTCGGCTTCGTGTCCCCCTCAAAGGTCTGATGGCACTGCATCCCTGTGTGCAGATATGTAACAAGAAAATACCCCAAACTGTCCAAGCTCCAGGGTTGCCCAACGAGGTCAAGTATTACTCGAGTGGACCCTGATGACAAGGAATGTTTGATTCATTTGACAATTCATATTTGCATTTGAGAGACCATCTGTGCCCAAACTAGACTCCTCAAAATAGGGCCTATAAAGTGGCCCTTCCTGAGAAGAGAGAGAGTTCTGGGTGGACCCAAGGGACAACCCAGGCTAAGCATTTGGGTCAGATGTATAATAAATCCTTAATCCCGCTCTCCACACTTTATTGGATTTTATGTAGGGAGGATGTTACTAGTCTATTTTCTTTCCTCCCAGTGACATTGGTGGTGGTGGTGGTGGTGGTGGCAGCAGTGGTGTGGTTAGATATCGCTTTCTGAAGTCAGATGAAGTTTGTTTTGTACATCTAGTCCAAGTTGACTCTACAAATGCTGAAAAAAGAAACCTTTTCAGTTGTCTTTTTTTTTTCTTCTGTAGGCAAGATAATGCTAATACAAGACTGTATTTGATTAACCTCTTGAAATGAATTAGCCAAATGTGCCCTGAATGACTGCACCAATAAATTGGATAAAATTAATTGTAGGAAGCAATAAGCTTGTGAAGTCACTGCAATTCATGATGCTAACTTGTCCAGCCTATGAGATTAAATCTGAGAGGGTGCCTGATTCCCCAGCACATATCACAGACCTTGCCAGGACTGGGTCTTCTAATCATCACTTATGCATTGCAGCTATTGGGTACACTTGAACTTGATCCATTGTTTCATTTGAGCAGGGAATATATGTTACTATTTCATATGAACGCTGTGTATATGTGTGTGTGTGTGTGTGTGTGTGTGTGTGTGTGTGTACTTGTTCTTTTTATCCTTTCACTTTGAATTCATTACTGGGTTTTTAAAATGCTCTTTCTTTGTTCATTGTTCTAGATTATTGATCCATGTTAGCATGGGCAGCTCATGCTGAGATATTTTTGCAACAAGGAAAAGGTGGAAGGGAAGCCAACGTTCCAAAAGTTCCAGTCTTGTAGAGAACTCAGAACTAATCTAGGTTGACAGTAGACTTTAGTCTATGGAGAATTCCAAAGGACTGTCCAGAGTAATAATCATGAGATTGGTAAATAGATAAAAAGTAAACCCAGACTGTTTCTTATGGAAGGAAATTGCCGAGAGTAGCTTGCAGGGCTCTCTTGACTACATGATGAGTTTGCTATTACTCTTAAGGTTAGTGGGACAGTCTCTCTGTGTGCACTGTGAAAAAATCAGGAGAAACTTTTTATGTTGAAGCAGAAGAGATTTATTTTAGATGGGCAGAAAACATTATTTATCCTAGGAAATGAGAGCAAACAGAAATCTGACCACTCGCTAGATTTTGGATTGAACAGTCTCGTCTGGTGGTAATCCCAAACTGAGCTTTGTTCTTGAGATCCTGAGTTGTGTGCTGTCTTTGAATTAATTAATTAGACATTTCAGAGCCATTCAGTTTCATACTGTTAAGATGATATTCTAGTTTGACCTCTGTCACTGTGAGAAAACATTCTGACCAAGACCAATTTGCAGGAATAAAGAGTTTATTTCGGCTTACATTTCCAGGACATAACTCACCATTAAGGGAAATCAGAGCAGGAATACATGGCAGGAACACATGGCAGGAATCATAGAAGAAAGTTGCTTACCAGTTTATCCATTGGCTGAGCTAGCTTTCTTCACCTCAGGCCCACATTTCTAGGAACCCACCTTAGACTGGGGTCTCCACAGTCAATCACCCATCAAGAAAATTCCTCAGACTCGGCTATAGGCCAGTCTGATTGAGGCAACCCTTCAAATGAGATTCTCTCTTTCCAGTTGATAAAAGGTTGTGCCAAATTGACAATAAAAACTAACTAGGGACGGGAGGCAAAAATACCCATCCTAGTACGATTCCTAGGAAATAGTAATTGTGCCCATTCCTGAATTATTAATACCTGTCAAACAGACAATATTATTTAAAACAATGCAGTGTTTTTTTCTCTTTCAAAGAATGACTTTTAGGCCTTGGTTCTCCTACCATGTGAGTTATAGAGATGGAACTCAGATGCTTGGGGTTAGTGGGAATTGCCATCACTCACCGAGTCATCTCCCTCACAGTTCCCTCATAATGCAGTGCTCTAAGGCCATTCTGGGTTTAGGGTGATGTTTCTTCAAGCAGCTTATGGAGCAGGAGTTTTAAGTTGTTTCCCTTTGGTGTGATGTCTGCACCTCAGATCAGGAGTTTGTTGTCTCCTCCACCTCTTTTTTTAAAGCTACGTTTCTTTCTTTTTTAAAAAAAAAGGAAGAGGGTCTGTGCCGGGCCTTGCTACACAGGTCCACGGGCCATACCAAGCTCCATTCTGAGAGACCACGTAAGACCGAAGGAGCGAATCAGCTCTACAAAGTTGTCTGTCTTCCATAAGCATGCTGTGGGCGCCACTCACTCACAGACAGAGAAAGACAGAGAGAAAGAAGCACATACCCACGAACTGATAACAAATAAAATTAATTACAAAAAGATGCTCCCAAGTTCTGTAAATTAGAGGGAGTTCCAAGGGAAGAGCCTGGTGTCCTTTGGCTTCAGGTATTGCCACCTAGTGAGCTGTTAGGTCTGTGTCATGACATTAAGAGAAGTCTCTTTAACAAAAAGAGCAAACTATTTGTTTTTTGTTTTGTTTTCGTATTTTTAAACTGTAGTTATTTTTGGTTTGCAGCATATGTTACAAAACAGCTGAAAGAATGCATTTTATTTATAGTTTTAAATTTATTTATTTAATTTTATTTGTAAGTGCTATTTTAAACAGTAGTTATTCTCCTAAGCTGTAGTTATTCTTTGTTTGCAGAGTATATTGTTCCACTCACAAAACGATTAGCTGAAACAATGCATTTTTATTTTAAATTTATTGATTTGATGTTATTTTTAAGTGTGTTTTGGTAGCATGTAGGTATGTGCACCACATGAGTGTCTCATGCCCTCAGAGTTCAGAAGAGGGCATTGGATTCCTGGAACCAGAGTTATGGATGGTTGTGAGTTACCAGCGTGTGGGTACTTGGAAACCAAACCCAGGTCTTCTGCAAGGGCATCAAGTGCTCTTACTGAGTCATCTCACCAGCTCCACATTTTCTTTTATTTTTTAATTGCTACCAAAAAACCCCAAACAAAATAAATCATGACTTTAAATCTTATCTTCTAATATGATAGGCTGAGAAAATGTGGTCTTTTGTAAACTAAAGAGAGGGTCACTTGACAGTCTTGTTAAATAAGATCTGTTCAACCTCTAAGGCAGTGAACTTAGACAGTTGTCTTTCATTTACATTTCTTAAAAATTCATGAAAACATGAAATTTCATTTTGAATACATATTAAAAAAACATTTTTTTTTTTATTTTTTTTTTTTTTTAACAGAAGGAGGCTACTTCCTGGGGTAGCCAGCACGTTACCTAAATTGTTACTATCTACCATGCTGAGGAGACACATGGAGCCTTTACTCTTAGGTCCTCCCATTCTTTCTTGCTCTTTTCCCTTGCTTTCTCTATATTTTCTTTGGTTCTTTAAAACATTTTAAAGTTTTTACCAATTTAAAAAAATATATCACCTTCCCCTCCCTTCTGCTGTCTTCTCCCCATCCCTGTGTTTTCACAGTTGTGGTATAGGACATGGAAGGCCCTAACTCTAAAGCAAACCCTTCCACCGTTCAAAACATTTTTCTTGTTTGTTTTGCTTGTCAAGGAGGCATTTGCTTCAGACAGCACCACTCCTTCCTTTGATACACTTTGTTTCTTAATGAATTGACAACCCTTGGGAGGAACTAAAAAAATATTTTAATGTTCTTCTGGAACAGAGGTAAGGTTTGTGTGTGGTGTTCCAGGTTTGGCTCCTCTGGTGGGTAAATGTAATTTATCAGATGGGATTATTCTCGGGTGGGTAGATATCCTCCCAGCATACATTCCTGGCTCCACCCAGCTCCAGAACACCCTGAACTGTGCAGTGACTTGGCTGACCAAACCCTGGGCTTCTCTGTGCATTTTTGGTTTAGATACATTTCATCTTGCTCTTCAGTCGACAAGGGAAATTGCGGCTGCAGAAATGGTATACCACGCTCCCTGACAAAGAAAGGAAGAAGATCACCCGGGAAATCATTCAGTCTGTCCTCTCTCGTGGGCACAGGACCAGCAGCTTCATTGACTGGAAGGAGCTGAAACTCGTTTATAAAAGGTGTGAGTAACTTCATGAGAACCAAACTTTTCGTTATTGCTTCGATGTGCTCTAGTTCTGAATATTTTAGATTGCAATGCTGATCTCAACACCTTCTGAAATCTTTGATCTAAGTGTTTGCAACAATGAGTGCAAGCAAGGAATCCTCATTTATAAATGAGAAATCTGAAGTTTGACAGGTAAAGCCAGCTTTTCAGTGAATGGATGCCTAAGTTAGGATCTGAACATAGCCATCCTGACTCCATGTCCTATAACAAACCACAGTTTCCAAAACAGAAAATTCACACTGGAAATGTACTCACAGAGAGTGTTCATTAAAAAACAAAACAAAACAAAACAAAACAAAACAAAACAAAACAAAACAAAACAAAACAATGGTAAAAGAGGTAGCATGAACGGCCTGATATTTAATGGAGCCCATCACCAGGAAGTGCTTTGGCAAAGTGGCTTCAACAGGTTCGGTAAGTGAGAGTGGGAGACAGGGCGGGGGGTGAATCACCATGTGAAGCCAGATATGGGAGCGTGGGCTTCCGAGAGCACCGCTAGGGGCTTGTATAGTAAAGGAGACAATTTCCAAACTGGAGAGGAGCTTGAACAAACACCCTGATTACCATGGGCCAAAGGATACCATCTCTCTGATTGCAGCTCTTCAAGGTTAAATTCTGTTGAGAGCCTTTTGTGTGATTAACAGAGGTAATCTAACCCTTCGACATTTTTATATATTCTGGTTTCTATTTGAGGAGTATACTACATGCCATGAGCAATGATTTTTATCCTTGTATGGGAAGAAACTCGAGAGAGAGCATGAGGTTACATACCTACTGGGAAACCCACTTTGCTTTGTTTATTGTCTCATTCCGTTTTTCTTTTCCTTATTTTTTTTTTCTTTTCAAGGTATGCTAGTTTATATTTTTGCTGTGCAATAGAAAATCAAGACAATGAGCTCTTGACACTAGAGATTGTACATCGTTATGTGGAGTTGCTGGACAAATACTTTGGAAATGTAAGTGTCCTTCTGGCCCTTTAGAGTCAGTATCCATCTTGGTTCTTGCTTTTGTTCATCTCTTGTATTCCTTTTCTCTCTCTCAAGTCTAAACTACCAATTGCATCGTACTAAAAATGGTGCTGGCCCACCTTGGTTCAGAATTATGGGATTCCTCCCTACCTGTATCTCTTAGTCAATGAATCACTCAAAAGATGTGGCTATATCTTTACCTTCAGATTGCAAGTACATCAAAAACCTTGTTTCAGGGAACTTGGATTTAGTTGTGAATGATCTCTGTCCTTTATTCCTCATTGGCTTTGCCATTTCGTCTCTGTTTTGGCATTTTGTTCCTCCTCTGGCACTGTTTAAAGTTACAATATTATTAGTACACGAGGAACAACAACAAGAAGGTACCAGCCCACACAAACAGAAGTCCCCAGTCCTTTCACTTCACATTGCTATTCCACAATCTAATTTGCATGTATTTCAATAACAGATGCAGCGATCTCTCACAGCTGCTCTCATCTTCAGAACCCATTCACCCTGCGCCAGCTTGCAGGAGTGCCCCACCTTACCACTCCAAGGAGCTCATTCAGTTACCACTGAGCCCTCCATACTGCTATGCACCATTGACTTTTCTTAAGTCTTAACCTGCTTTGCCCTTGCTGCAGCACTGAATCCTTATTTTGCCTTTAAATTCCCTTTTCCCTTTTTATGCCATGACCTTGCTTTCTGCAAGGTCTTAGCCTGTGTATCAGACGGCTCCACCTTAAATTTTTTCTTCTTTTCTCATTTTCTGAATGCTGTGCCTCTTTTTCTGCCTGTCTCGTGTCTATGGATTTTTAATTCCAGAATCTACCCCAAGTGATTCTTCTCTGCTTACCCAGTGATGAACTTCACTGACCTTCTCATGGCCAACTGCTATGCCCATCTTTTGCAAACCTGCTGTGTCTAGTGGCTGGAATTTTCTATTTCTCCTTTAATACAAAGGATAGGGTTCTTTTGCCTTTCTTTGCCTATTACTAAAACCCACCTGACTCTTCAATTTAAACCTAAGACTCATCTCCATTTTCCTCTCACTAGTTTGTCTTAGGGTTTCTATTGCTTCTATGAAAGACCATGACCAAAAAGCAAGTTGGAAAGAAAAAGGTTTATTTGGCTTGCACTTCCATATTGCTGTTCATTATTGAAGGAAGTTAGAACAGAACTCAAACAGGGCAGGACCCTGGAGGCAGGAGCTGGTGCAGAGGCCATGGAGGGGTGCTGCTTACTGGCATGCTCAGCCTGCTTTCATATACAACCCAGAACCACCAGGCCAGCGATGGCACCACCATCACTAATTGAGAAAATGTCTTACAGCTGGATCTCATGGAGGCATTCCTTCAACTGGACTCTCTGTGACTCTAGCTTCTGACAAGTTGACAGAAAACCAGCCAGTACTCTACTACAGGAGATTTACTTGGCATTTTACTTTTAACTTCTTATTTGGCCATTTCTATCCCCCCAGCCCTTCTTTGCTTCTCTGCTTTGGCATCTTTGCCTTTTTTTTTTTTTTTTTTTTTTAATAAAGCATAGAACTAGGTGGGGCATTACTTCTCATCACTTTCTGTCATCTGTCACCAAAACCTTCACCCCTCCTAGGCTATAATGTAAGCTTTCAAAACAGTGATGACAAGCCACGTCTCCACCCTCGCTGTGTTCTTTCCACTGTGCACCTGTCCTTCTTCTCATTTCCAGGTTACAGCTTAGAGCATCTCACCTGGCGCAAAAGCTTACCTGAATGCACAACTGTGTGTTCCCTGAGGTACTGACAGTTGACTCCCACCCACAGCGTACCCACTCACAAATACCTCTGGGCCATAGGTTAGCAAAGGCTGTAGAGACACTAATAAGATGCCCCGTTGCAGGAAGAAAACCATCAGATCTGAAGAAGGTTCCTCCAGCTGTGTTCTCCCCTCACTGCATTGGTCAATAGAAGTTTATTGAATGATGTTGGGAGGATTTGCTTCCAGAAGAATTCTTAACATTCTTTCTCTGAAACTGAACAGGCAACAACATTTTCATCATTGGTTAGGTCTTACCTGCTTTTTTTTTTTTTTTTCTTTTTTCTCCAGTTTTCTAAGACAGGGTTTCTCTGTGTAGCTCTGGCTGTCTTAAAACTTTGTAGACCTGACTGACCTTGAACTCAGAGATCCACGTGCCTTTTCTCCCAAGAGAGCTGGGATCAAAGGCATACGGCTTTGAAACAGGCTTCAAAATGACTAGTATTGGATGGTTTTCTAAATGAATTTTCTCCCCTATTTCCCTTTTCTTTCCCTTGAAAATGATGTTATAACAGCTTACATGTTGCTTGGGAAATTTCAATTACTGTCACTACTCAGGAATAATAAGAAAATGACACCATGTTCTTTTCCCTGCCTCTCCAAGTTTATTTTTCTCAAAGCAGTACATATATAGTAGCATGTTTTCAAACATGGGAGCATTTTTTTTAACTTCATGCTTTCTTTTATTCTGATGAATTCTGAAATTTTTGGTGCTTTCCTTTGAAATGAGCTGCAGATGGGGGTCTTTTGTAAAGGGCCTGGAGGAGCTTCTTGAAGTCTGAGCTTTCCTGTAACCTGCTCTCTCTTTCTCATTTTTTTTTTTGAACTCTGGTTTGACCTGTTCTGTTTCTGTAGATTAAACTAACTGTGATCATGTGACTTGAGGCTGAATTCTGATCTCTCTGTGCTTAACTGACATTCAACCAGATATTTCAGAGCACATCATTTCTTGAGAGAATTTGAATGACCTCTCCAGCAGTATCTAGGCCCAGGTAAAGAAAGCATAGAGAGGATCAGAATAACTTCCTTTCTCTCTAGCAGTGATTCTCTGTCCAATTCTGGTACACCTTTAGCTCTATCTTTGTCATGAATCAAAAATTTAATTCATTAAAACATTCAGTGAATCTTTCATTATGCTAAGAGCTCTTCAGGGCTCCATGCCCAATAGGTGTTCAATTCTTATTAATTATCAGTGTTGGCCAAAGGCTTCTGGGACTGATCCTCATTGACATCATCTCGGGAATAGGATATTTCTCTTTGGATTTATTTTCCTCTCACACTAATACCAAAGATATCTTTGAATTCTGCCCTTATATTATGTAAGGGGAAACTTATACCTTGAAAATACTGTATTTTGAAGACAGATAAATGAAAATCTCTGGTCACTAATTTGAGTGATGTATTTTATAGTGCTTTTCAATTTTAAGGAGATTATCAAGGATTGGCTAGTTAATCTTTCAGTCTTCAGTAAGTAGCATCAACCCCAGTTTACAGATGCTAAGAAGAAGTGCCTCAGGGTCTCCCAGTAGATAAGGGATTTAGATACCTGCCACATTTCCATTCTGCATTGCAGCATGGATTTTGATTGATGTATTCTGAGTGCATAGATACTGCTGTCCCTGGAAGCTTTTGCATTGACCTAGGGTGTTTTCTGTTTTAAGAGAAGGGGCACTAAGTGTGTTGATCCTGATGTCTGCTCACTTGGCAACCAGACCCAAGATTTCAGACCTTCACCCATTTCCATTTTACAGATGAGAATATGACACTAAGAATGTTGATAAAAACATTGGCTTTGCTAAATTCATGGCCTATTGTGAAGATAAAGACAATGGATAGAGAAAGTATGTAAACTATTACCTGCTATTAGTATGTTGCACTGCAATTGTTTTTCATATGTAGCTCTGTAGCATTTCTTATTGTCTGAAGCATTTCCTTTGTGTAACTAGAAACTTCTTGTATTTACTTAAAAACAGAGACCAAGGACACATGCTTCTTAGACTCCACCCAAGAGAATTTAGTTGATGAACTGTCAGGAACAGTATCAGAGTAGAATGTGTTCTGTAAGAGAAGAGCTTCAAGCCAAACTACAGTTGAACAAACAAACAAAAAAATAAATAGGAAGTGGAAGATAAAGTGAAATATTCTTTCTTTTTTTTTTTTTTTTTTTTTTTTTGTAAGTGGTATGCTGGAATCTACATACATGGGGGAAATGTCACAGAAAAGTTTTCTTTTAGCAATAGTCTGTGAAGGAGGATATGATGTATATAATGCAAAGGGTCACTGAGCATCAAAGACAAAATTCTTATATACTAAGTTCTCTTTCTATCTCTCTCTATAAATATACATATACACACACACAAACACATGTGTGTGTGTCATAAACACAATACTGTATGTATTTGTATACAGAACCTTAAGGTGGAATTTAGCAGTATTTAAGTAATAGGTGAAAGAACTAGAAGTTTGCAGGTCGTCCCCTCTTCTTATGCTTAGATGGAGTCGGGCTGTAGAGTAGCATTCTGGAGTTGATGTATATGAAGTACTTGCTCACTCACTCACTCACTTTTCTGTGATTATGTGTGTGTTGTGTGTATGAAACTCTGTATGCCTCCTTACCTTATTCTCTGAAAGTGGAGGCAGTGAATGGATCGTCCCATTTCTGTTGAAGAAGCCTTTGGGTGTGGGGATTGGTGACTGTGCTCTGAGTGGGCCATGGGAAGTTCCTAGTGAATTTGTAGGAATGTTTGTCAGGACTTCCCGGCAGGATTCTACTGACGTTCTTAATGAGGCTCTTATCTGTCTTGGATTTCTAGTCTATACCTGCCTTAAACACCGAGGCTTCTCTGCTGTTGCTACTGTAACTCCTGACTTCTGCTTCTCCTGAGCACTGGTAACTGATTTCTTCTGGTACTTTCTTGCACGTGTGTGTCTAACTTACTGTAATTTCATTCTGTTTGGTTTTATTGTTCAAAATTATTTTTAAAAATGTATTTTCATACCCTTCTAAACATATAATCTTTTAATCTTAAACAAATGGATGGCAGTATGCATATTTTCTGTAGCTTACTATTCTCCTTACAAGCCTGTTAGAGAGAGATTTTTCTACATCTTTCCATATAAAACTTCCTTATTCTTTCCAAACTATACATAGGTACATACGGTACTTATGCTATTGTAGAAATGTGCATACATTATTTAAATGGTTCCCGATAAGAGGACTTTGAATTATTCCTAATTATTCTTATAAACAAGGCCCTGATAATTATTGTTGCTTATGTTTTATTTGACATTGATTTAGTATATCATGGGCTAAGCCTCTTATGGAACTATTGGGTCTAGGAATTTAAAAAATTATTTATTTTGGGGTAATTATTATTAGTATTTATTATTAGCTATGTGTATGTGCATGGTGTGTGTGTGTGTGTGTGTGTGTGTGTGTGTGTGTGTGTGTGTCTGTGATGTATTTGTATGAATACCAGTACACGCAAGGTGCATTGTACATGTGGAAGTCAGAGGACAACTTTGGAGTTCCTTTTATGTTTACATGGACTGTGGGCATGGAACTAAGGTTGTCATTGTTGTGGGGTATCTACCAGAGAAGACTGCTTGGACACAAATTTAAGCCAATAGAAAGTCTTTATTAGATGGCCAGCAACTACACTGGGTGTTTGGGATCCCAGTGTAGCACCAAGCCTTTCTCAGGGTGAGCTTCTAAGCACAAATACTATATTCTGGGTTGACATACCTCAGTTAAGAAGAACAGTTAGCCAGAAGTGGAACTGCAGAAGCCAAAAGGCAACATTTTCCCAGAACTATGGACTGTGATGGCCTAGGTCATTGTTTTCATTTTGGTAGATGGTGCTGTCTACATGCTGAGTTTTATTGCCTGAATGGTACTTCCATCATGAATGGAGTCAGTTGTGCAAATGTCTGGGGCCCTGTTATAGTCAGGCATCTACAGCAAGTACCTTTGCCAACCGATCCATCCTAGCAGATGTGGGTGCAAACATTTTTGCATTTAAAATTGTCAGACACTACAATTTGATCAGCTAACCAAAAATGGCATATAAGATTTATAAATTCCACTGACAGTGAATATAGGTACTTATTGATACCATCACTAGCAATGGATATTTTCACTGAATTTCCTGATGAATATGGATTCAGTTTGCCTGTCTCTTGACTCCTTGAAGTTATATTTATTATTAAACATGTATTACCATCCCTTGCTTTTCTTGGAATTATTTATTGTTTTGTTGTGGTTTTTGTTTGTTTGTCTGTTTTGGTTTTTGAACTCTTGCTGTCCTAGAACTCACTTTGTAAAACAGGCTGGCCTTGAACTCACAGAGATCCACCTGCCTGTGCCTTCTGATTGCTGGGATTAAAGGTGTGTGCCACCACGCCTGGTTTTATTGTTTGTTTTTACATTGTGTTTATCTTAGGTAGGCATTTGCAAAAATTCTTTCCGAACTCAGAAATTTATATGCTTTTGTCAGTAGGAGAATAAAAGAAAGGGATCTGAAGGACTGGTTCAATTCTTGCTGGCATGTACCAGGGTAAGGGCATGAAAAAAAATGGTGAGCTGGTAGCTTTTGTGCCTGTGGCATAGGAAAGCAGAGAGGGAGGGCTTGGCTGAAGGTGAGATCTTCTATTTCATGTGGGAGACTCTGTCTTGAAACCTAGACCTAGACCTCATACGAGGAACGAGAGCAATATTTTAGCAAAGTGTGACTGACTATGATCTTGAATGGACAAAGAGATTACCTGAAAGATCATTGCTGTAAACCCAGTGGGAGGAGTTGCAGGCCAGAGCAGCTGTGAAGTGGAAGGTTGGGGAGCTAGGGCTTTATTTAGACAGTAGAATCAATAGTTAGTGACTAAGGCAACAGATCAGGATCAGTGGAAGAAGAGGCATCTTAGTTAGGGTTACTATGGCAGTGATGAAACACTATGACGAAAGAAGATTTGGGAGGAAAGGGCTTATTAGGCTTATGCTTCCACATAACAGTTCATCATCAAAGGAAGTCAGGACAGGAACTCAAGCAGGGCAGGGACCTGGAAGTAGCAGCTGATGCAGAGGCCATAGAGGAGTGCTGCTCACTGGCTTGCTCCTCATAGGGTGCTCAGCCTGCTTTCTCATACAGCCCAGGACCACCAGCCCAGGGATGGCCCCACCCACAATGGGCTGGGCCCTCCCCCATTAATCACTGATTAATAAATTCCTCTACAGTCTTGCCTACAGCCCAATCTTAAGGAGGCATTTCTCAGTTGAGTATCCTTCCTCTCTGATGACCCTAGCTTTTGTCAAGTTGATGTAAAACTAGCCTAGTACAAGAAGTGTGATTGGTGGGGGTGGATAAGAGAGCTCTCGCATGAATTAGATGAAATAGTAAGAAAGAAGCTACTAGGCAAAATTAGGGAGTAAAGGAAGAAAGCGTATGCTCGAGATCAGTTTGGGACTCAGTGATGTGGAATGAAGGATGCCCAAGTAGACAAGTGCAGTCAACAGATGAAGACACGGGGCCAATGCACAATGGTGTTGTATTTGTGGCACCATTATCAATCAGCCAGAGAAGGGCCACAGGCACTAAATGCCAAGCTCTAGGGAGCAAGGAAGAGATCTTGTCAATCAAGAAACAGATTGGCAAGGGTGTCTGATGCTACCAAAGTGGGTGCGAGGGAGGGTGGGGGACTTTTGGTTAGACGGTTTAAAGAGAGCAGCTTTAGTTGGGCAGGTAGGGTGTGGCTGCAAAAGGATGCAATTTTCAGTGAGTTGTGGAGCAGGCAGAACAGTGTGGAGGCATTCTCTGGTTGAAGCATCTAGAGTATGGCGATAGCTTTGCCTCTGGCTTCACTTGCATACTGAGACCTGTCAGTGTCTCTGTCGGTCTTTGATCCTGGTTAGTGTGCAGTTCCACTTACTAGAAGCTTCATGTGGGAACTATCATGTGGGAGTCTGGGTTTTGAACCTACTGACCCAGAAGTCCAGGAGCAGGACCTTTTAGGAAGAGTGTTTAGGAGCCTTAACAGGTGAGTTTGATATATTTAAAAATTGGCAGCTCACTAGCCTAACAGCCAAGATCTTTAGACCCAAGTGCGGGAGACCTGAGGCTCTGGCCTTGTACTTAAAAAGCAGCAGGGACCAGTGTCTGCTTGTGTCTGTGAACACAGGAACCTAGAAGCCTCACTTCCCCACTGAGTTTTGTATTTTCTGTTACTTTAGTTACTCTCCTGTTGCTGTGATGAAATAGTATGACCCGAAGTAACTTATCGAGGAGAGTTGATTTTGGCTTATGGTTCCAGAGGAGAAGATCACAATGGCAGGGGAGATGTGCTAGCAGGTGGCAGGGGCCAGAAAAGGAGAGATCACATCTCAGCCACACACAGGAAGCAGAGATACGGAGTGTGTGAACTGGAAGAGGGATGGGGCTATAAACCCTCCAAGCCTGCCACAATTGACCTGCTTCCTTTAGCAGTTCTGTACTCCCCTACCCCCAAGGTTCTATAAAGTCCCCAAATGCCACCAGCTGGTGACCAAGTGCCCAAATGGTTGAGACCATGGGGGCTGGGGGGATATTTCTTATTCAAACTACCATTAACTTTATTATCTAAAGACATGGCTCTACTTTAATTAAAGGTCTGGGGTTCTCTCCTCCCATCTTTCTGTCCTTAAAATGCCACAAGGTGTTTTATGTTGGGATATCCCTTAGATGGCAAAGTTGGAAAAGCTGGAGACCATGGTGGATGCCTTCATGACGACTACTGCAAATTTATCACAAGGTTTATTTTTAATTTTCTCCTTACCAGGTCTGTGAGCTGGATATCATCTTTAACTTTGAAAAGGCATATTTTATCCTTGATGAGTTCATCATAGGTGGGGAAATCCAGGAGACATCCAAGAAGACAGCAGTCAAGGCCATTGAGGACTCTGATATGTTACAGGAGGTCAGTGCGGTTTTCTATGCGTGGGGGGTGGTCCTAGTACATATTATTGCACTCTGAGGACTGTGCCCCACACGTTCCGGGCATAGCTTCTGCATCAAATAATTCACATGTATTAGCTTACTTCATTCATTCAGCAGTTCTAACTAGGTGTGAGCCTGTTTGATAGTGAGTGAATAGAGCTTCAGTCGAGGTGAAATGTCCTGCTCATTTTCGTAGTTAGTAAATATGAAGCCGAGCTTTGGACCCTTGAAATTTGGTCCTGAGTCTTCGCATGTCCTGTTTGGCTGAGCTTCAGGGTCTGAAAATATCTTACCCTCTGAAATGGATGAAATTCTTGCTGCTATTCTTTGCAAATGTAATTTTACGAGATGTATAAAAAGACTTTCATTAAAACATCTCTGCCCTGGGAAGGAAGAACAGCAGTACGTGGTTATTTCATTTGCTGGGAATATTAGAGCTGTGTTATCGAAGATGGCATTTGTCATTTTAATTGAAATTTCCTACCTCTCTTGGGGACGCCTTAGGTCTGTGTGCTCTTGTTTGCATGAATACATGGGGAACGCTGGTGGCTGGATGGCAGGGGTATAAATGGCTCCTGAAACCTGTGCTTGGCGTTCCTCCTGACTCTGATTGTTTCATAAAATACCCTGGGATTTTTTTTTTTTTTTTAAAGAAACATCCCGGGTTTGAATCAGACCTAAGAGAGGAATGTAATCTTCATTAGCCCCTACAAGGCCACCGAAAACGAGCACTGTATTCCACTGACTCTTGACTTCTAAAATGAGGTAGCTCAGACCAGTCCTAGAGCAAGCATGTTTTAGGGTACCTAAATCCCGTCCCAGCTCTAACCCCCCCATGTCAGTGGCTCTTCCTTCCTTCTATCTCTTTCCCCCTGTCTCCTCCATTCTTCTGTTTTTGTTTTGTTTTTTGTTTTCTTTTTTGTTTTAGACAGAGTTTCACTATGTAACCCAGGCTAGCTTTAAACTCCAGATGATCCTCCTGCCTCTACTTCCCAAATGCTGAGATGACAGGCATGTACCACACCTGGCCTCAGTGGGTCTTTCCATCTTCCTGTTTTCATAACAGCAGGTCAAGAGTCAAGAGGATTTCAAGAATTATAAAGTACCTTTTTAAAATTGGTGCTAAAGCCATTCTCCCTGCTATTTGAAAATAAGAGACGGGTTAGGTTAATAAGACGTTAGGCATGATTTCCCAGCAACTGTCTTGGCAGTACTATGAGCTGATTACTTACATCTGCCCATGGAGGGACTCCATTCTCAGGTGAGTGGAAATAAAGAAAGATAAGGGTGGGTTCCCATAAGCAGCTCTGAGCCTGTCAGGCCAGTGCTTTCACTGTTAGAGGTGCTGACTCCTGAAGAGAAACGCATTACATGTCTCTCAGCCTACTTGATGCCAAATGCCACAAGAAGGGGATTTTATGAGGTACCGAAAAAAAAAAAATCAATGGCCTGGAAATTCCACAAAATATGTGGGGGTAGAGAAGTAGGGAGTAGGAAGTGGGAGTTATTCCTGAGACTCTCCTCTTGACCTTTAAGATGGAAGCTCCTTATAAAAGAAGAAGCAAATTTTCCACAGGGTCTTTGGCACATCAGTAATTAAAGCTTTCTGAATTGAAGCAAAGGCACACCTGGGTTATTTCAAAGTCCCTCCGCTTCCCAACCCCCAGCTGCAAGAAGCAGGATTTGAAATAGCTTTCAGTGAATCTGTGTTTCTAGCTTCATTTAAATCTTGGGAGCAGGCGTTTCAGGAAGTGAGCCCTTTCACAATAAGGCACTAATGTGTTGGTTCTTGTCCCTGGTGATTGAGTGGACGGTGTGAATGGGTTTCATCAGAGACTCTGTGTTAAATAAACCCTGTTCCCCAACGAGCAGGCAAGGTTGTGGCTGTCTTTAAATGGCACTTCTTTAATGAACAGGGCCGGCCAAATGAAAAAGTGTTGCTAGTGTCCTCATGGGCTCTGGTACTCCTTCAGTGACAGCGAACATTTGTGGGGGCTTGTTGAGAAGTTGACTTTGCAGGTCTGGTCTGCTTCAGAAGGTTCAGAATGTGAAGGAGAAAATGTTAAGATTGCATAGAGGAGAAGGATTGCCCCTTTATCCTGTCCGTCAGGAACAAGCAGGTTCTAAGTATATATCCGGGGTTAGTAGAGGCATAGGCCTTTATGACATTGTATTCCCTTTAGAAGAGTGTTTTTCAATCTCCTAATGCTGTGACCCTTTAATACAGTTCCTCATGTTGTGGTGATCCTCAACCATAAAATTATTTTGTTGCTACTTCGTAAGTGTAATTTTGCTACTGTTCGGAATTGTAATGGAAATATCTGATCTGCAGGATATCTGATCTGTGACCCCCAAATGGGTTGTGACCTACAGTTGAGAACCACTGCTCTAGAACAACTAAACATCCTGAAGTAGCTCTTAAGACTTCGCCCTAAAATACGCCTACTAAAGGTTGCTTGGGGCAGGGGAGGGAAGCAAAAGTTATTTTCGAATATTTAGTAAGAAGAATCATAGTGTCAAAGCTCCAGGTGCTCAAAGCTTAATCTTTGTATTAATCTTAATCTGAGTGTATTCAGGTTAGATGTTGATAATCCAGAAAGTTTAATTGGCTGGGGATGACTTCTATGGGAAGGAGTGGTAGCAGTGTGGGTGTTAAGATAAAGTTAAAGCAATGTGACTGGAGTAGAGATTGTAATTCTCAAGATTACCAGATGGGGGCAGCCATTATTGGACGGTCTCACAGACAATGGCTTGTTAAGGGAAGGTCCAAAGGAGTTCAAGCAGGAGGCCATCTCACATATCTGTGGATGCGTGAGCAACTGGTTGGTGGGCCCCAACACTTTCATCCTTCAGAGCATAAACCAAACCCACGATGCAGCAGAAAGGAACTGTGTATGAGGTGCAGAATCATACCACCACGGTGTGAAAGTATCTAAAATGGGTCCCCAAGCTACCATTCTAGCCCGATTCTCGTAAAGGCAAGAGAAGACAAAGATTTGTCTTAAATTTGACCTAAAACCATGCCAGTTTTAAGTGGGTTCCAACCCTTTTTAGTGGCAAGCTCAAGAAAAGAACAAATTCTTTCATCATTTCTTCACACTCCTGGAGTGATAGCAGGACTCAGACATGGTAGGTAGGGCAGAGTTCAGCCCCTGAGTCATCTCATATTAATGCAAGGCAGATACCCAGAGCTGGTAGACCCTAGAGGCTGTGAGGTGAACACTTTATGACTTTTGACTGTCTTGTGCTTCTTCAAAGTTGCAGAAAGGGCAGGACAATGTGTCCATATAGTCAATTCATCTTAGTCAGATTTGCAAAAGTAACATATTTTAAATGCAAAGACTTTATAGCCATAGCACGTATAAGGTAAGAGTATCAAACAAATAGAACATGCTATTCTATATTTTGTTTTGTCTTCTTTTTAATATTAATGATACACTGTTAGACTTAATTTGTTTTGGATCTTTTAAAATGAGGATAAACTCTACAAAACTCAGATAAGCTGCCAGTGTTGACACCTCAGTCAAGTTAAAAGATAAGGATGGAACATTTAAGAGGAGATTCAGGGCAGATGTCTTGGGGTATAGGTCTCTCAGCGCTCAGTTAGGAGGCTGACAAGATTTGGAGAAAGTATGCATGCCTAAGCACACGTAACTCCATCAGTGGTACAGTGAAATTCTAAAGAGACCGAGGAAACAGTTTAGAAACCCTGATTTCTGCTCTTCCTCCTAAGGCTGCCACCCTTTAATACAGTTCCTCATGTTGTGGTGACCCGCCAACCATAAAATTATTTCGTTGCTACTTCACAGCTGTAATTTTGGTTCAATTGTAATGTAAATACCTGATAGGCAAGATATTTGGCAATTTGATCCCTGTGGAGGTCATGACCCACAAGTTGCGATACTCTAGAACAATCTTGTTGGCCAGTAACCTTTGGCCAATGCTATCAGCCTTTCCTGGGATGTTCAAAGTGGCATACATTTTGGAGTAGATACTTAAGTGTTGATTGCTGAGCAACTTGTCAGTGACTCACAGTGACTTAAGGTGTTGTCTAAGGATAACTTGCTGCTCCCCTCCCCCATGAGCTCTCTGATTTATGTAACCTGGGCCATGCTTTTTCACAAATATATACCTGTTCAGTACGAGGAGGTTTGCAACACTACCATAGAATCCTACTTCTTACCATGAGTTGCGGACTCAAACCCAAACACTTAGGAGAAATAAAATGAAGGCAGAAAACTAACTGTGGGGCTTGTTAGCAAACTGGATAAGTAAAGAGGGTCTGGAAGGTTTGTAGAAATGCTCTTCCAAAAGGCATGGCCGACATCTTTCAGAGTTACGAGACGTTTATCCCTTCTGACTGGGCTGTGGGTTTAATGAAGAGGTTCTGCACAATACAGGAAACGATGCCTATGTTACATGTGTGTATTTACTTGGGCTCCTCTAGCAAACACATGCCTGCATGTGGCCTTCATGACCATTTTAGACACATGAACCTTACATCAACGGTGGTGTCTGCACAGTTGTTGAATTAACATCTTTCTTCTCTCTCTTATTTTATGTATGTATGTATGTATGTATGTATGTATGTATGTATGTATGTATGTATATTTTTTTGTGTGGGGGAGGATTGAGACAGTGCTTCCCTGTGTAGCCTTGGCTGTCCTGGACTAGCTTTGTAAACCAGGCTGGCCTCAAACTCACAGAGATGGGCCTGCCTCTGCCTCCCAGAGCGCTGGGATTACCATCTTTCTTCTCAAACATCCACTTCCTCATCAAGCTTAGCCTCTTCTGTTGAAAGTGATATATTTACAGCCATGTGGACATGTAGATAAAGGATATTCAAACTTGCAGTCACCTCCAGTGGAACGTAAAGGTTTACATCTGTATATGCTTTCTGAAATTTGTTTTCAATATCGCAAAGAAAAAAAAAATCAATGAAAAACAAATCATAGTCTGCCGAAGCACATTGCTTAAAGGGAATATTGCTCTAAGTCATTGTTCTCTTTCAGACAATGGAAGAATACATGAACAAACCCACATTTTAAGTGTACAGTCTACTTGAAGATTCTGAGTGCTTCGTGTTGTGACCCTACAGACAAGCAACTCCTTGCGTCCAAGCGCCACAAGCCCTGCGGCACCATGCCAATGATAACTTAAAGGGATTCTGTGTTAGCTAGCCAAACTCAAGGTTGTTAGCATAACGTATTTGTGGTTGCTACGCGTCTGTATTCTACTGTGTGTCGCTACTCATCGTGGCTCTAGTTGTTTCAAATAATTGCTGCAGACTGAATAGTTGCTTACAGTGTTTTAAGTCCTTGTGGTATTTTTAAGGTAATTTCAAATATTAGTTGCAATATAGTGATTTTTTTTGTTGCCATTTGATCTTCTACCTGTAGACCAAAAACTGCTTTGTGATAACACCCAGTTTTGAATGTAAAGTATATTTTATATAATGAATGCCTTTCCTAAATGTTTTAAAGTGTACATAAATTCAAGTTGATGTTAATAGTTCAGATTTCATACATGATGCTAGACATTTTTTAATATTTTTCAACAGTACTATAATTTCAGGTCAGATACAATGTATATGACTTTAATGTCTTGAATTCAACTTTTTTTTTTTTTTCGGAATCGGGATAGACTTCATAAATGACTTAAATGTCTTAGAAGGTGCTAGATTGAAGTTTTAACTTTACTTTCAATTGAATATAAGGGACATTTCAATAATGCTATGTTTTCTACAAACTGTGTATTTATTAAGGTTTCAAGAGATCTGAAGATAACATGTTACAGCATCTCCTGTCCTTACCAAAATGCTGAGAGGAAGAGCTATAGCAATATTTATATAGCAGTAATTGTGATCTCTACTACTATTTTACATCTCGTGCTCCAGTTATTCCTTGTGATTCTTTTTACGGATATTTTATTTTCAAATATCTCACACCTTGTGAAAAATGTTAAAATATTTTTAATGTAAGCTGAATGTACCAGGCTTCCTTATGGCATGAATTTCTGTACCCTTCATAAGAGGGGACTCTATCCCTTTTTTTTTTTTCCACCTTTTTCTCAGGAAAATGTCTTCTGCTGACTATTATTGTGACCATGTCACCTTCATGCTTCCAAAACAAAAGTTCTGCATAGCCAGGGACTGCGTGTACTGAGACAGGAAGTAGGAAGTCGCTTATAGCATTTGTTCTTGGTGTCTCTGTCTAGAGCTTTGAATCTTCATTCTCAGTGTAAGTATCAAGGTCTGGGGTTGCTCCCATCAGAGTGCTTAGGACTCTTATATTTTCTTGTGACGAGAGTGCTTGATTTTGTATTCTGTGGTGATCTCATATGGCCGACTCTTAGAGAATGTCATTGTTTGTCATCTTTGGTTCATCTTATCAGGCTTCTTTAAGGGAAGGTGACAAGACCAAAGCAGAACAGACAGACAAACTGACCCATTCCTTAATATAACTATTTACTTAAAGGCAGCAATTCAGTTTGTATATGAGGCAATAACTGGTCTTCTAATAGCTGACGTATCTTCAAGTTAACGATATCATTATGGTGGCAGGTTGATGTTTGTCTTTTCTCTTTATTTCATAGTCTTCAGTTTTGTGCATTAACTTTTTTAAAAAATGATTAAAAATTTTTGTTTTTCAAATATTTTTGTAAACGTGAACTTTCTGTAACTTCAAAGGTTTTCCAGTTTCTTTTTTTTTCTTTTTTTTTTTTTGTGGATAAAGGTATTTTTTGAGCCTCATTAAATGTACTGTTTATATTCTGTATAATTCTATATTTTACACTGTCTAGCTTGCACACATTCTTCCTGTCAGTTCACTCATAGAAAGTGATCATATTTATGTGACACACTGGAATAAATTCAAGGGATTTGGGGACCAGCTTACATGAGCTTTAGCGAAAAATCAGTACATATATTTTCTTTATTATTATAGGATTCTAAGGAAGGTACCAAGTAAAAGAAAAAAATAATACTGAATATATATAAAACTTCCAAATAAAAAGTTAAAAATGTGTTAATGATGAACTTGTGTGTACTTTCATGACTATATATGTAATATATATTTTTAAATAATCTTTTTATTCTCGCAATTCCAACATTAGTTTCCGGTAAAATCTCTTTAGGATTTCTTGCTACTTGCCAATGAGGAGAAACTCAAAAAGTGGCAGTGTCTGGGAGGAGAATGTCTTTTGCTTTTCCCCCTCCGGTCCAGCATTCCTTCATAGTGTGATAACAGAATTTCTCTACTGGATGTTGAGAAAGCAATCAGTTTTTCATTACTTTCATAAACAAATGTAAAGACTTTTTTTGTGATAAAGTAAGTGAGTTTTCACATCCCAGATCTCTTAAAATACTAGTAAGGCTTTCAGCAAATCTACCATGCTTCCAAACTTGATAATTCTTCCAACATGCTTATTATCAAACCTATAAAATATCAAATGTATAAAATATCATTAGTAGCTACATCGATAAATGCTAGTGTATTTTTCCATATAGTTCCATATAGCATTTTTTGATACAATACATTCAGATGTTCTGGGTTATGTAAATGACCCAGTGACAAGTTTCCAACAATTTGTAAATGGATGTCCATTACTTTGTTTCAGCTCCTTTTTGACTTGTAAGGCTTGGTAAAACTGCCCATAGACAATGTGCTCTGATATTGAACAGTAGTAAACTGTTTTGTCATAGTTAAAGCCAGAAGCTCCTAATAGTATCAAGGGCTTTATTAAAGTTGCCTCTTTCTCCTCTCTCCCAGCCAGTCTCCTTTTCTTCCTTTGTCACTCTTTTCTCCCTCCTCACACCTTCTTTCCCCCTCTTTTCTCTCCTCCCCTCCCATCTCCACTCAATGCCTTCTTCCCTCTACTTCCTTCCCCCTTTTCTTCTTCTTTCTCCCCCACCTCCCTGACTTAGTTAATTTTCTATTGCTGTGATGAAACAGCACAACCAAAAGCACCTTGGGGAAGAAAGGGATTTTTTTCAGCTTGTGGTTTATAGTCCATCATGAACGGAAGGCAGGGCAGGAACTTAAGGGAAGACAGTGGAGGCAGGAACTGAAGCAGAGACCATGCAGGAATGCATCTTACTGGCTTGCTCCCCAGTGCTTGCTTGCTTATGCCACCCAGGACTGCCTGCCCAGGGTGGTATCACACACAGTGAGCTGGGCCCTCCCACATCAGTCATTAATCAAGAAAACGTCCTACAGATTTGTACACAGGCCATTTTGATGGTGAAAATTTCTCAACTGAGATTCTCGCTCCCTAGGCGACTCTTGATTGTGTCAAGTTGACATAAAACTAACCAGCACATTCATTATCATTTTTTTTTCTGACACAGGATCTCACTGTGTAGTCCAAGCTAGCCTCCCACTTGGGACCCTCCTCCCCCACTGCCTCCCCACTGTTGAGGTTATAGGCCCACGATACACCACCTACCTTAGGGTCACATTTTGATGTACTACTTGGTATGGAGTTCAGGCCTATAGACGGACTCTTGGTAAGTCCTCCATGAATGTATTCACATACTTATTGAATCTTACAGACTATGGCACCATGCAGTTCCCATCATGACTTCAGTTCTGGGTATTCATTCACTGTTTTGATTTCTACTGTGTTTTGGAACGTTACCAGATGATGTTCAAATGTTCCTTTAAGAGCACCTCTCTCTTGACTAAGAACAATCAATTAATTTGAGATACATGTATGACTCCATCATTTTCTTTAATGGAGTGACACTGGATGTATCAACCTAAGTCCAGACTTAGGAATAGTTGGCCAGAACAAATCAGACTCCATGCTTTTTAGTGGATTTTATATTTTCCTCCTTTTTCTTTTCTTTCTCTCTCTTTTTTCTTTAAGAGAGAGAAACAACAGGAAGCTGTTATACCTAGATCATGAGACCCCCAAGAGACCACCAGGAGTCAAGTCTGTTGCAAAACACATGAGGATCTTTTTATTACAAGGTAGAGTTTGGCTCACATCATCACGGACACAGTGGTTGAGAGCAGAGAGCCTCGTGCTCAGGGTAGGTCAGTGATTTAAAGATCCCAGTCCCTCCCAGTGTGCCAAAAGCAGGGGAATTCCTGCCTGGCAAGTGTCTATTGGTTGAAACACAAAAGGGGATGTTGCATTTTGATCTGATTGGCTGTGGAAGGCCCCCAAACCATTAACGGTCTGGCTTCCCTTATTTGGCTGTCCTAAGGGAGAGGGGCAATCTGGGCTGGTTTGCTATCAACTGTATCTCTAGTGGGCAGGAAAAGAGTGCACTGTTTTGCTTTCTAGTATGTTTTGGAATGTTACCAGATAATGTTTAAATGTCCTTTTAAGAGCATCTCTCTCTTGACTAAGAACAATCAATTTGGTTCCTCTACACAGGTGGCTGGGCATGTCACCACCTGTCTGGCCTTTGTTCAGGCTTGTGCTTTAAACTTTAAACCAATAACTCATAAAACTAATTTTTAATTCTTGGGTCTCTCAAAGCCACGTGGGTTGAGAGGAGAGAAGATCAGGGAGGAGTTGGGGCATGGAAAAGAGTATGATAAATATGCTGTGTGAAATTCTCAAATAATAAAACATTTAAAAAACAAAGCAAAAGTTAGATCATTTGCATTCATTAGAATGGAATCAAAGAAGCTGAGAAGTGAAAGTGTGATAAATTTTCAAGTAATGCAGTTTCAATGTTTTCAATATTAATTTTGGCTAAATAAACTTCCATAAAGGTCTTAAACTATAGATATTACTTTTAATTATGTAGGACTAAACACATTTTGGGGAATTTATCTTCTATAATGAATTGACTTAGTGAAATTACATTTTCCTATTATTAGAAATGGGCATTTTGAAGAAACAAGCTCAATGGCATTTTGTAGTCAGTTTTTGAGAAATTGTAAGATTAAAGGCTAAGACCAAAATGATGGAGAAATGAATAAGTCAAAGTAAGTTAATGAGAAAAATGACTAAAATCAGTTGCATGTTCTACCGGGAGCAGTTATCACAGGTAGTAATAGTATCAACAAAGAGAACAATTTTAGAACAATTGAAAATTTTACTAAAATTATAAAAGCATAGTTTGAAGGAAATCTTTTACATGTGCAACGACCCCCAAAGTAAGAATCAGGTGCGTTGTTGATTTTAGGGCATGCTTCCTATGAGACACTTTTATTTTAGCTCTCATCACATTGTGTCCTATTTGTTTTCTCTTTCTTTCTTTCTTTCTCTCTCTCTCTCTCTCTCTTTCTTTCTTTCTTTTTTCAGTTTGACACAAACTAGAATTATCTGTGAAGAGAAACCTCTTCACAGAAACTGAGAAAAGGCCTCCATCAGATTACCTATAGTCCGTGAGAGCTTTTCTTGATTGTTAATTGATAACGGAAGGCCCAGTTTAATTATTTAAAAATGATGCACACAACAGATATTATATGAAAGAGGTTTTTTTGGATGGATATAGAGAGGGAGAGAGAGCATGGTGGGAAGGGGGCGCCTGACAGAGAAAAGGGGAAAGAGCAGGAGAGAAGTGAGAGGAAGAGAGAGGCCAAGTGGCAGGTTAGCACTTTAATAGTGCACAGCTGAACTGCATCTGCCATGTGTTGGGCGACACTTGATGACATCATAGGTTACTAGGCAACCCAGGAGCAGGCTGCCCAAAAGCTAACACTCAGCACACTGGGGTCGTGCGACCCCTGGGCAGGTGGTCTTTGGTGGTATGTGAAAGTGAAGAGCAAGTCAGTAAGTGACATTCTTCCATGGCCTCTGCTTCTAGGTTCCTGCCTTCAACTTTCTACCCTGACTACGCTGCTTCCTAAAGTGGAAGTTTCTGGTTTCGTTGGAAACTCAGTTGTGTCATGTGAATATGTTTTCTGTTTTGGTCCCCTGACCATGCAGAAAACAGCTTCCATGAGAGGGCGCATGATATTGGTCAGCTGAAAGGTACCTCCTGCGAGGTGCATAGTTTTTGTTAGTTGAAAAACATCCTGGTGTGGACTTTGGGAAGAGGTAAATGGAAGTCCAGAGACAGTGAGACAACGCTTTCTGCATCTCTACACTTTTGCATTGCTAAGGTGGAGTTTTGCTGCTTAGACGGACTCCTGCCATTTGGGCAGAGACCAGCAGGTTCTACTGAGTCCCTCCACAGCTGCTGCTGCGCGTTGCTGCTGCTACTTTGCTGTTTGACTAGACTGCTGATATCCTGATGATTGCCTTTGGTAATCCCCAAGGACCCGTTCCTTATCAGCAGGAAGTAGATAAAAGAGGTCTACACCCCCTTTCCCTGCTGATCTCCTGCCTAAGGTAGGAGGGTTGGAAGGGAGGTAAAGGCATTTAAGAACCTTAAATAAAGTAGGTGTTTGAAAAATCTAAGCCTACAGCTTCCACCCGAAATTGTTTTTGGTCATGGTGTTTCATTACAGACTAATAGAAACCAAACTAAGACACTCTATTACTGTAGTCTGTACTTAAAATATTATGAGCCAGAATACGTAAGCGCAGAAGTTAAGAATTTTTCTGAGGACGCCATCTGCATACCATTAAATGTAAATTCAATTTTCATGAACTTTCAAACAATAGGAAATAAGGCTTAAATTTTTATGTTTATGTACACACGTGTGGTCCTCGGAAACCAGTCTCTGAAACCAAGGCAGTAAGCCATAACAAACTGGCTAGGATGTGTGATCATGATCAATGAGACTATGGATCCTATTTGTGTTTAACTAGAGTTTCACAATAGACCAGGTCTTGGGAACCTTGATGCTAGTCCTGAGTCTCACTGACAGGACTCACGTACTTGCTTTTTGGAGAGGTGGATTATGGGAGTATAATGCGATGACTGAGGTGAGCAGACTAAGAACTCATTATACGCCAGAGGAAAGAAAATGAGAACACCAGTGCTCAGGCTTTGATGGAGTCACGGTGCTAATCATTTGTTTAATTAACCCTCCTTTTGATCAAAGGCATTACCACAAGAAGGTATTTGATGAGCCTGTTTTCCTGGTGTGCGATACATGCTAATGGCTTTCAGGGCATGATTTTCTT